TCGCTGCTGTGCCATGGTGTAGATCTGAGCTGCGTTGATGATGCAAAAATAGGGAAGGTTGGGGGCTTTTTGTAGAGTTTCAAACTCACTGTGAGCATTGAGAATGCTCTGAAAGTTGTTAGAATAATAGAATCATTAAGGTTGGAAAAGACCTCCAAGAGCATCAAGACCAACCATCAACCCACCCCTCCCATGACCACTAAACTATGACCTGAAGTACCACATCCACCTTTTTTGAACCCCTCCAGGGATGGTGACTCCACCACCTCTCTGGGCAGCCTGGGCCAATGCCTCACCACTTGAGCAGAAATTCTTCCTAATATCCAACCTAAACCTCCCCTGGCACAGCCTGAGCTCATTTCCTCTCATCCTATCACTACTAACCTGTGGAGAAAAGACCATCCCCCACCTCACTCCAACCTCCTTTCAAGCAGTTGTAGAGCACAGTAAGGTCTCCCTCCAGCCTCCTCTTCTCCAGGCTATTACTCTCTGCTTCTGTGAAGTGAGATAAACCACAAGTTACCATCCTCAGAGAGATGTCCACAACACGGGTGTGGGCACCTTTGGGCGGGTTTAACTTTTGTTAGAGCCCAGGACTGAAGCAGCTGTGGTGATCACTCTGCAGTAGGGCGTCAGCAGCAGCAGAGCCTGCTCAGCGGGTTGCTTGGCCTGACCTTTGAGATGCAGGAGAAACATTTCCTCTTTGAACTGCTTTGCAGAGATAATGAATCTCTTAATGGATTTCCTGTTCTCTTTATAGAAGAGAGGAAGCTGGCAGATCACATCGAAGCATGCGTTAGTGAAGCTGGACATAATTTTTTGCCAGAGAACCTGATATTTTCTTAAAACATGGTTTTCTCTGGTCTGAGCCAAATCATCACATTGGGACTCAAACAGTTTTTGGAAGGAGTAGAGAGGAGTGCTGGGGAGCAGTCCAACACTGCATTGAGAGCGCACGGGAATGACTCAAAGACATGAGCTGCCCTATGAGCCGACTAAAGGTCCCTCCAGCCCGGTGCTGAGTCCAGCAGTGGCAGGAGGAGACAACACGTGAGCCCAGCCCTTTCTGCTGACTGCTTCCCATGGGATTCTCCAGCATCCACCACTGTGATGGTACAGAAGTTAGAGGGGACATCCCTCTCTGTCACTTCTGCTGTCTCTTTTTTGATCTGTTGTCCAGAACAACAGTGGTGGGTGTTGTCCCACTCTGAGCCCACAGATACCCCCCACCTCTGCAGCCTCCCACATCAACGGGATGTAGAAGTTCTCTGGTCTCACAGCACACAGGCAGGGTTTCATATTTTGGCAACCTGTGGGGTTTGGCTGGCTTGCAGTAGGGCATGAGTTTTATCTCAGCTCCTAAAGAAATCCTTGTGAAGAGCCTCCAGGACACACTGCATCTCTGCTTCCCTAACTTGCTCCAGCTCAGCCTCGCTCTCGCCAAGAGAATTATGCATTTCACAGTTCTGGGAGCTCTTTGCATTGCACAAACACAAAGTCCACCCAACTTTCTGGCAGTGATCAGGCATTTATACCCCTGGCAACAAAGTGGACTGGGCTTGTTGGACATCCACTTGCATGTTGATCTTCAGGTTACTGATCTAGCTTTCCCTTCAGTTAACGTTTCTTTACCCTGCTGTCCCCCTGCAGATCTGGGCAGCAAATGGTGAGATCCACCTGATAAATCCCCTCTTCCTTTCTTGGCAGGCTTTGCTGATCCCTGGGCTCTTGCCTTTCCTCATCCTCTTGCCAGGCACTTTCCTGCATCACCCATGTGCTCCTCACACAACAGAGGTGTCCACTGAGCACATCTACAGACCCGAGTCCATCACCCAGGGCACATGACCAGCACACAGACTGGCAGCATCAGTCCCACTCTTTGTCCTCCCAATGTCCTCAGTGACCCCCCTTGCATGGTGGCCCCTGGATGCCACACCATCATTTATCCCATCCCCCTTATAATGCAGCCTCCCCTCTCTACCAGCAGGCACCAAATAACAGACACGAGACCAGAGAAGCAACGTGAAAGTCCCTTGGGAAATTTTTGCTTTAATTAAACCTAATATTCTTGTAATACATGACCAGTCTGGAATCCTATTAAATTCTTGGTCTCAGTGACTTTTTATCATGTTGACATTTCACTGACTGTCTTCTCATCCTTGGTCGTGGGACATGAACCCTGCTCCCTCTTCTCGAGGTCATTGGGTACTTTCAGTCCTCCCATTGCATTCCATAGGACTGCTAGCCCAGGCTGAGCAGTCTCTTGCCACAGCAGAGAGATTTGCAGCAGGGTCCATTTCCAGGTGCCTCCTCCAAACTGTGCATCTTTAGCCCATCTGATCTGCAGGCTGCAGCCAGCCAGGACCTGGTGATGCTCCTCACCTTGCTCTGTGACTTCCCCCTCATGAGTCCTGATGTTTCTTTGCTCTTCTGACTGCAGCTACCCCCAAGCAGGAGTTTTGGGTGAGCATCTTCTGCCCATTGCAGATGATTCAAGAGACTGCTTCCAGTGCCAAGTCAGGACTGTAAAAACATGCAAAGCCTTGCATGGCATTAGGAACCAGTGGAGGTTTGCTGGGTCCGGTGCCAAGTCATACACCTTGTACACCCATTCATAAACCTGGCACTGGCCAACTGGGGACACACACATCTGCACCACCCAGGAAACAAAACTGAGGGCCAGGCTGAGCCTGGGGCAAAGGGACTTGTCTACTCATAGTCCAGCTGTGCCAGCTGCCAAGCTGGGACCTGCCCCTTTAAGCTTTCTCAACACTGCTGGAGAGGTTCTCCAGGCACATGGCCCTGGCCAGCCTTGGTCACAGGAGAGCCAAAGTGAGCCCAAGCTCCCTGGTGAATCTTGTTAGCTGGGTGTGGTATCACAAAAGTTTCTACTTGAAGGCTTTGGGTGACAGGAACTTTGCACCATATTTACAAGCAGAAATGCTGATGTGGCACCAGTTTCAGAAATAAAGGAATTTGGCTAAAGATGGCCCGGAGGAGGTTCAGTATTTCCCCCTGGGGAGTCAGCTTGTGGCCCTGCAGAGTTCCCACAGCTACAGCTTCATGATCCTTGAATACAGCAAACACATCTCCCCTTGAACTGACCTGCTGGGTGCCCGTGGGCCTGGAGCAGCAGGATCTGTCACCCTCTGCTTCCACTGTGTCTCCTGATGGCATGCAGAGCTTCCAGCATGTCTGCCAAATTAGAGAGCTTGAAGGAATTTTGGCTCCAGGATGTTGCAGAGGCTTAAAGTACCAATAGATTTGAAAAACTGGGCAAAACAGGAGAAGGTGGGTATGGTGGTTGTATCAGTGGGCGTTCAACAGTGGTCTGGAACAACCTCTGCCTTGCCTCTGAGCTGCTGTTAGCTGGGAGGTGGATGTTAACCAGGAGATGGGCTATTGTTTACATGCCCCATTCCTTGTGCTTTTCTCCAGATTTCCTTGGGAGATGTGGGATACTGGGTTAGAGAAAGGGCTTACAGGAGCAGTTGTTGGAAGTTTTCATACCCTGTCTGCCCATCATGAAAGAGCAAACACATTGCAGATGCTCTCAGAGCAACCTCTGCCAGCCTCTCTGTCTCCCACAGCATTTGGAAGAGCAACGGGGTTGCCTTAGCTTCCCCATGGAGGTACAGACTACAGAGTCATTTGTTGGGGCTCCTGTGTTCCTCTTCTGCTTCTGATCAACACTAGCCACATCCCAACACTTCATCAGGTGCCAGGGTGTTTGAGCTAGTGCTTGGTGTGCTGGGGAGTCCCACCAGACTGACAAAAGGCTGCCGTGGGATCCAGGCTGTCTCAGCACCTCTGAAAGATCAGAATTTCATCCGTGCCCGAACGCAGAACTGGGAGCTGGACATCATAGGCCTGTTTACATCAACCTGGATCTTGCTGTCTAGACTGAGACCAGTTCTTCAGACTGAGAATTTGTGTTTCAAATTGGTCTTTTAAAGTACATCAGGCCTGCTGAAAGTATAAACTCAAAGCCAAAACCATGTGGAAAGGATCCATGCTTTCCTTGGTGAGTTGCTCAGAGCACACATTTTTTTAAAGGCACAAATCAAGTGGTGGAGATAATGAACCCATCTCTCTTGCCCGTGCTCAAGTTCTGGCTGCATGACCAGGCTGATGGGTAGGGGTTTTGTGTGGCTCTGGCAGACAACGTCAGAGCAAATGGATGGATGCTGCAGAACATCTTTGTCCTTGCAGGCCTGGAGGAAGAGGAACAGCCTTTCTTAAAGACCCTCTGCCAGAGGGAACAAAAAAATGCTGCTTGTGACACTGCTTGTGATGTCTTGATCATTTTGAGCAATAAATAAAGCTTGTGAACACTCCACACTGAGCTAGGAGTGAGCTCCGGTTTGTAGCCATGTCTCAGCCAGCTGTTGTATCCGACCAATGACAGGAAAGTCCTGGCCATTGGCCTCACGCCTGGTCCTCCTAAGCTTTGGTGATGTGTGTTGCCCATACCGATGGACTCCTCTGATACAAAGCGTTCTGGAACTACATGGTCTGGCTTCTCCTCTCCACTAACTCCAGATGAATCATCTCTGGCCTCCCAGATTCTACATCTGAACTGCAGTTTGCAGCCACCAATGTTCACACCAGGCTGTACTCATGCTCTGTGTTCAGTCAGCTCCTCTCTACAGATGTATCTTGCAGAAGCTACTGGGTGGAGCCAGGTTACTCTGGAGCGTGGCTTTTCCCAGTATGTGATGTTGGGCTGCTCATTGGACAGGAGGGTGATGCAGAGAGCTTGGACCTGCCTTGCTGGGCTCAGCTGCAAAATCCTGCTGTCTTTTTTTTCTGGGATGGTTTGGTTGAAGTACAAAGTTTATTTTGACACTGGAAATTGGTACAGTGCATTTCACCTCCAGGGAAGAGACTTACTGGGGTGACATCATCTAGGAGAGTACAAGGACATGTTTCATTTTATGACTAATCAACACAGGTGGGTAGAGGGGAGGAGAGACTTGCAGGAAGGTCCTGGGCTGCCCTCAGCGGTTAAAGAAGAAGGATTTGAGACTCTGCAGAAACTGTGACTTCTGCCTCTGCTTCTGCTTCTTCCGGATGATGGGTATCCAGACAAGGCCACAAACAAGGAGCATCAGTCCCAGGGACAGGAAAATCGGGCCACATATTTTGTAAACTTTTTCATTCTTGGTTAGGATGCATGACAGGCTGGTGCTGACTATTCCAAAGAGGAATATGGCTGCTCCAACAGAAATGACAATGACAGGCTTGTGGTATATGTCCCACTTGCTTCTGGATGTGCTGGTCCAGACAGACTCACTCCGTGAGCTGATACAGAGGGTGCTGGCCGTGTTACTGGTCAGCAGCTCCTTGGACTTAGGAGACTTCTCACTCCCATCAGGGCTCTTGGGGGGAATTTCCATGGTGACAGGATCTGAGGAGACCTGAGGTGGACAAAAGGGAAACAGC